GGTTGAGTTTTGGGGGTTGGGGGTTTAGGGTTTAGGGTTTAGGGATTTAGGGTTTGGGGTTTAGGGTTTAGGGTTTGGGGTTTAGGGTTTAGGGTTTAGGGGTTGGGGTTTAGGGATTTAGGGATTTAGGGTTTAGGGTTTGGGGGTTGGGGTTTGGGGTTTAGGGTTTAGGGCTTGGGGTTTGGGATGATAGAGGGCTTGTATGGCGATAATGGAAAATAAAGTGGAGACTACTATATTGTATACGGATGGGTAGTTTACAGTTGGGCAATTTAAAGCGACCTCACCCGACCTCACCCTAAATAGTGGTGTATATAGGGAACAGTGCCTAAATGGCCTTAAATCGGGAATTGAATTTGTTAAAAACTACACTGAATATAGGGGTTATGTGGGGATAATTGAAAATAGCATGGGGACTACTATATTATATTTGGATTACATAGGGTTATATAGGGGTTAAGGGTTATAGGGGTTATGTTGGTGTTATGGTGATAATGGAAGATAAAATGGAGATCACCATATTATATATGGATCATATAGGGGTTATGCAGGGATTAAGGGGTTATATTGAGGTTTTATTGGGGTTATATAGGGATAACGGAAAAGAAAATGGAAGCTACTATTTAGGGTTTAGGGTTCAGGGGCTTTGGATTTTGGAGCTGTTCAGGGTGTAGGATTTGAGGTGTTGAGATCAAAAAAATAGGTTTTGGTGGTTTAGGGTTTTGGTGTTCAAGGGGTTTTAAGGGGGTTTTGGGGGGGGTCAGGGTTGAGCTGGGTCCCTGAGCAGGACCAGCAACCCGAGAAAGCCGTGCTCTACCTTATGACGCCCGGTTTAGGGCTCAGGGCTGTGCATTGGGATTTCCCGGCGCGGTTTAAAGTTCACCTGGGCTGCTGTGAAGGGACTGGGAGTTAGGTTCAGGGACCATAAGCCCTAAACCTTAGCCATTTGGAGTTTAGGGCTTAGGGATGAGCCGATAGGGTTGTTGGGATTAATTAGGATATAGGGTGCGGGGCTGCTCATGGAGTTTCCGGGTCTCTTAACACGGTTTCTACGGGGATATATCGCTATATAGACATGGACATGTATATTTCATTATGTTGTGATTGTTTGGGGCAGCTTTATGAAAGTTGGGACGGGCTAGCTTTCAGAAATGGCTGGTGGACAGCCCAGGAAGGAGCAGCGCCACATAGTGCCCTCAGTCTCAAAGCTTGATGAGAGTGGGCTCGCCCTATTACAGGAGACATTGCTACATCATGAAGCTTTCAAGTTGGCACAGATGCTCCAGGGTGAGAATGTCCCAGCAAGCATCGCCGATTTGCAGGAGCGATTCTCGCGCGACAGTAGGGAGGCCTTCCAGTTCTACATCTTCTTCCTGCTGGGCTTCATGAGTGGTATTGCAGGGGGCTTAGGGTCAAAGTTCATGACAGCAAGGAACGCAGATGCTGTCATCAACGGCATTTGCATGCTGCAGCGCCTCCTAGACGCGAAGCCACTGGGGATTTACTGGGGGTACCTCAACGCCCGAGCTGAATCATTAGGCTGGCCTTGTGCAAGTGCAGAGGATTTTGCTTTGGTGCGTCTGGCTTGCCTCAGTTGCTTATTTGTCCAAAGGGAAACTTTTGATTTCTTTGGACAATATGAAGCCTTGCATGCAAAGCAGAACGGTAGCCCTTAGAAAGCCTTGAGTACTGGACAGCCAAGATTCTTGGCCTGGGGGCATGGATCCCTATCCTGGCCCCTGCGTAATCGCAATGCAGTCCTTGTAGGCCTCATAGCCCTATACCTGGATCAATGTTAGGGGTCCTTCATACTTTTTGGGGTATGGGTTTCCTGATATTTCTGTCAAAATGATCCTTTTATCTTCCTAGGGTAATGTGGGCTAAGATACTGTGCAGCTGAGGTCGATTGCAGGATCGAGACGGGTATGTGGCTTTACGTCAAGCCTGGTGCACGTGCGGCCAGCAGGAGAGGGCCAGATTGTTGGAGCACTTCCTAGCAGACGGAATTACTGAACGGGCTCTTGTGTTGGAGTTCCTGCCGGATTGCATCTCTGGAGCGAAGAACAACAAGTTGGTTGGCTTGGCCGTCTTTTTGCATGTTTTGGTTGATTTGCTCGCCAACCTCAGCGTCGCCTTAAACTCTGCGCCAGCCATGGGCGGCAAGAAACTTATCCGGGTCGACTTGTCAGACATGAGTGCCTTCACCGTTGCAGTCCAGAACGGCTTTGTTTTTCGGACGTGCATATCTCGCTGCAACTTCTATGTGGGTGACGACAAAGTGCAAGTTCAAATGACAAGCGAGAACTGGAGTCGAACGCAGGACTCAGAAACCGACATCACGAATTTGTCGCACAGCATGCGAGAGGTTCTTCTTCAGCAACAGGCTGTTATGGGGCATTTCTCTATCGAGCAAGCACAGCCCTGGTTCCTGTCTAGTACCATCCCCAAGAATGGGGTCATGGAAGTGTCCTGCTGAGCGGGCGAAGGATTGGCTGGCTTTTTCGCCTCGGAGCATACTTGGAGGTTCATGGCTACTTGTAAGTGGTATTACATACGCCCCTTGAAATATGCAAAAACTATGCTCGTCATGACTTGCATGTTCAATTGCAACTACTCCTGCACCTCCAAGAAGGGCTTCACGACGAACTCAGCCAGTCATCTTACATGGAACCTGGTAGTGCTTTGTTACTTAGAAGCCCTCTTGCCTTGCGAGTCTTGAATATACATTTTGCAGGCCAGAGAGGGGGATGTTCACAATCCGCAGTGCTTGGGCTTCGTCCTTAGGACTTTCCCTTCACTTTGCGGTTATGTCGCAGCAAGACGATTTCTGTTCAAGCCAGAATCTAGCTGAATGAAACCCTGGCCTTTCAACTCAGACGGAGATTTCTCAGTATATGGGGTACCCTTACGGACCCAAGCATGGGGAACACCAGGGCTTACTGGTCCTCTTAAAGGATTCTAGGCTTAGGGCTCTATAGGGAAGATTTTCGAGAAACTCCCAGATCGCAAGAAGATCTTTGCACATCCCGCGCTCCCGGCGCCTCCGAGAAACAAAGCAAAGGTGTGCACAGCAGCTTAGTTCGGAATGCAGGAGTGGATCTTTAGAACAATTCCTCTACATTTCCGAAAAGGCTGCCCAAAACAAATTCTCCCATTCCTAGCTATGTAAGCATGCGTAAGCAACGGCTTTGCATCTTCGTCGATTGCCATCTTCCTTTCATGTAATAGGCTAGTCTCAACAGTTTGGTCCCCGACACACGCTGCAGAATCTGAGGAGTGCCCTGAGAAAATCCATCCAAAGGAGCATTGATTCTGGGACGTCCCCACGTGATCGGCCCGCTGTGCTGGCAGTGTGTATGCAGTATTTCATTTTTTAGTGGTTTTCATCAATATTACTATACTGCTGCTGCTGCTACTACGCCTACCCTCCTCCTACTACTACTACTACTACTACCACTACTACTACTACTACTACTACTACCACTACCACTACCACTACCACTACTGCTATATGATTACTATTCCTACTAACGACGCCGACGACGGCGACGGCGACGGCGACTACGATGACTACGACGACAACGACGACAACGACGACGACGACGGCGACGGCGACGGCGACGGCGACGGCGACGGCGACGGCGATGACGACGACTATTCTTTAGAACGCTATTACTGCTTCTACCGCTGAGCATATGACTACGACTTTTACGACCATTACTGCT